TTGAAAAAAGTATATGCGCTAATGGGCGTGATTTCTAAAAATCATCTTCAAATGATTTCAAACAAAAGATTTTTTTGTTTCTACTAAACAACAGCCAGCCAAACTCGCATATTCTAATATATTCAACAAGGAACAAAATAGGTACTCGAAACTCTATTCTTCTCGAACTTAAAATCAGGACCACCTTAATATATAGACAACACTTGTATGATTGGTACATGCCTTCAGTTCAAATCATAGCCTCTCTGTTGCCGATGATGCAAAAAGGAATTAACCAAGATGTGGATGCCTCATGTTGCATGACAGGAGACCCCTCTCTCTTTAAAACCGGACATTTACAAAGAGAACTTAGAGTGGATATTTCTTATAGAACTATGTCCAAAATTGTAGGAATAGGAACTGTTATCATTTATAAGCTCTTAAAACTCTACACTATGTTATTTGTCCTTGACCTATACTACAGCATGTTATCAATCAACAACAAAAAATAAATAAATAAAAATTATTTAAAAAAAAAAAACTACTTGTGACAACCATAACATTGCTACATTATCACCAAACCTTTCTATTTAAGGACTTGAATTAGAGGAAGATGATTGGCTATGATGTGCAGCCTTGAGACTTCACTAGCTCACACCTAATACTCCAAATCCTCAAGCTTTAAAGATCACATCCACCAAACCAACAAAAAGTGTGCCCAATCCTACAAAAGGAAGGTAATGCTGGGGCCATCCTTGACTTTATCAATTGAAAAAGTATATGCGCTAATGGCTCGTGATTTCTAGAAATCATCTTAAAATGATTTCAAACAAAAGATTCTTTTGTTTCTACTAACAACAGCCAGCCAAACTCCGCATATTCGAATATATTCAACAAGGAACAAAAATAGGTACTCAAAACTCTATTTCTTCGAACTTAAAATTAGGACCACCTTAATATATAGACGGCACATGTATGATTGGTACATGCCCTTCAGTTCAATCAAGTAGCCTCTCTGTTGCCGATGCTGCAAAAAGGAATTAACCAAGAATGTGGATGCCTCATGTTGCATGATAGGAGACCCCTCTCTCTTTAAAACTTAGGACATTTACAAAGAGAACTTATAGTGGATATTTCTTATAGAACTATGTCCAAAATTGTAGGAATAGGAACTGTTATCATTTATAAGCTCTTAAAACTCTACACTATGTTATTTGTCCTTGACCTATACTAAAGCATGTTATCAATCAACAACAAAAAATAAATATTAAAATTAAAAAAAAAACTACTTGTGACAACCATAACATTGCTACATTATCATCAAAACTTTCTATTTAAGGACTTCAATTAGAGGAAGATGATTGGCTATGATGTGCAGGCTTGAGACTTCACTAGCTCACACCTAATACTCCAAATCCTCAAGCTTTAAAGATCAATCCACCAACAAAAAGTGTGCCCTCCAATCCTACAAAAACTGCAATAAATATAGTGAATCTACATCATTCTCATCTTAGTCGCCACAATTTTATGTATCATGAGAAGTTACTCCCATAAGTCATGAAAAACATATATAAAGTTCTTTCTTGTGAAGTGTGTCAATTCTCTACATCACTATCCCATTCTAACTTATAAAAGTTCATATCTTTTTTCTC